GTCGGTATGATTTGCACAATTCGGCATCAAGTACTTTTCGGGGTGTGATGTAACGATCTAGGTCAAAATGAAGCTTTTTCAGACAGGAATAAGTGAAATTCAATAGCACCATAAGACTTAATCATTTTAAATAGCTCTATACCCTGATTTCTAATATACAGGCCGAGGATTGGGTCTGAAAGAGTATGTAAAACTTCGGTCTGACCAAATTTCACTTTAAAAAATATATAAAATATCATCAAGAGCAAGCGGGAAACTAGCAAATGGTACAGTATAAATTGAGGTGCCTCATAATTTCTAAAGAAGTGATGAAACACAGCAAATCATGGAAACAATAATAGAATCAAAACCTGTGTCTGTTTGGAGCAAGTTGACTGGAACGGCTCGAAGAGGCGGAATCTAGCACAAATTTTCAGGCCATCCTCCTTTGACTGGGGGGCAGAGCAAACTGGCAGTAGAACACTGAGATTTTGTTCACAATCTTTGCTCGAGGCCTTGGTAACGGGAGAGAAAGAGGCGATAAGCCTGGTACCAGGTAACGCAGTCAGGTCTGCATGGGCAGTTGACGAGGTATCGACATCAAATGATACCAAGTATGTGAGCCAAGTAGCCGTATTTGTGATGCGGAGAGGACTATTCAAGCTGGGAGTCAAGGGTACCGAGGTCTCGAGCTCAAGCTCACTGGTAAAGTGGAATCTGGGATTTTAAAGAATCAGTATTAATAGGAGATTGTCGAAATATTAATTAGCCTAATCTGTACTTCTTGTTAATAGGGCTTGTAGATCCGTGGTGAAGTAAACTAAAAAAAGATGCAACCATCGAAACCCAATTACACTATGAATATGGAAGGAATAATTTTGGTTGGAAGAATGACTTTATCGAATCATGAATATTAAGTGTAAGTGGGCTTCGACAAATATCTTTCAAAAACAATTTTTATGATGACTTTTATGTCATGTAAAAATACCTGATGAAGAGATTCGTATGCTGGTGTGTGTCATTCATGTTATGGCTGGATCTGGTTCTTAGAAAATATTCAAGTTAATATGTAAATCAAGTGAAAGAAGGAATTAACACGCTTTTCAAAGAAACTCTGATGCTTTCTTAATTTATGTCATCTTTTGGATATAAATATGACCCATTATCAAGATCCAGCTGTTGCAAGATGTTGTGCTCCTGTAGTCGACCTCATTTTGATAGGACGCTTCGGCCTGTTCGCCAAAGATTAGCGGGACACAAGAATGATGAGTCCAACGATTAGAAGCGGCCGAGCACAGGGTAGAGGCTTTACATGAGGTATAATAGTCTCTAACGCATAGATTTACTGATTTGGCACGTCTGTTGTTAGAAGGAAGATATGGGAATATTTTGAATGTGAAGAAGGATGGTAAAAAGTTGAGAAATAACTATTAATCATAGATATGAAGACCAAGATGGTGTGACCTGTTTGGTCTAGGTCTCCTTTAGCTCAATAGAGTTGGTTCTACCTTGCTTTTGCAACTTGGTCGGAGCATCAGGAAGGCCATGTGGAACGTACCTAGTCCTATATCCCCTGCCATAGTATTCTTGATTTCCAACTTCGGACCATTGACTTGGTAAATTCCCAAACGTTTCGCCGGCATTCTCAGTGAGAGGCATCATCGTTATCACAGAGTTACAACTTATTGAAGTGACTTTTCTTTTATGTTAGTGCAGCTGAGTTATGTCAGAGATTTAAAAGGAGGTCTACTCAGCTCATCAGCTCAGAGCAAAGTGACACTTTGATAAGTTGTAACTGTGCCAACGATGGCGCCTTTCATTTACAATGTCGACTACGATCCTGGAGAAACGTTTGGGAGTGTACTAAGTCAATGGTCTGAAGCTAGAAATCACGAATACTCTGACAGAGGACACATGACTAAACACGTCCTACAAGGTCGAACCAACACAAGAGCTATTGAGAGATTGAAGGAAAGATAGACTAAGATATGGTGATAC